ACAGGCAGTCCAAGGTCGACTAGAAAAGAAGGAACGGCGTGACAAAGATATAATGAAAGACGTGGTCATGCAGAGTAGATTCGCAGGCAAAACTGTATGCGAACAAAATCGGATTTGAAGATGAAAATTTTCTTACTACTACCCTGGACCGGTTTGATTGAATGGCCTAAAAATGCCTACGAGCAGATAAAAACGTTAATAACATTGTTACAGTCATGACCATTTATCGTGTGCCTCACATACTCCTAACTTTGATATTTTGAACGAACGTCGCACAAAATTTTGTAGTAGGTTTTCCTTAATTTCAATAGTTATTCTTAGACCTCTTAATTATTTTGAACATTTTAAAAGATGTCAAATAATTTTTAACCATGCGCCATTGTTGACTAGTGAAAATTTCAACCATTTTCGGTGAAGCTTCGTTTTTTCCAAATATCCTATACCAATACCTATATTTTATATCGAAAAGTCAATAAAATCCCAAACATGTTGATTATATTTGTGTGATCGCTCAATTTGTAGCCCTTGCATTTTAAGCTCCCTGGTCGTATAAAACAATGAGTGTATTCTGGACAAACTAAATCCAGACGCCCATCCTGGGTACGTTATGCGAAGAATACTAGACAAAGTTTATTTAGTGTTCGAACCAAAATGTTCATTTTCTATTTGTTGTGATCAAAGATTCTGTTTTTTCATAGATATTTATTTCATCATTGATTATTGCTTTATAGATTCCATTTTTCTGTCATCTTTTCGAATTGAAATTGAAGTGAATTCTATATTTAGAAAAAACAAACATAAGCAACTACCAAATTGGTGGATACTTTGGACACGGAAAATCAATTGACTCTATATACTGGTAACTAATGGTAATTAAAATTATTCCATCTTATGGAGACATAAAAGTATCAGGCAATAATGAGGCCTGAGGTTTCATTGTACCAAACGATCCGTGATTGTTCTTCGATTGGTATGGCCCATTGTTAACTGTAAACACCCTGTAGGTGTTCTTCCGAGTCGTGCCTCGGCGGACAATGGACGGCGACGGTGCCAAGCGGAATTGTTCCGTCGACCCGGGGTCCGGGCTTATATGGAGGCGGCGGGCGACGCCAAAAAGCGTGTGTAACCCATTATTCCTTATTGGGCACCACGTGATATATCTGACCCCGTTGTTTGCCCGCTTTTCGCGGTACGGTACGAACGATCGGGCATATACACTGGCCGGATACCGTATAGGCGTATAGGTTCACATAACAATCCGAATTTCTTTATAAAAATCGAGAAAAAACAAGAAATGCCAGAGGTCGCACGTTTTCACTAATGGAAAATGAAGAAATCGGCCGATAGCAAACTCCCAGCTCACAAGAAGAAAATTACTAAATAGTGGCAAAAATATAAAACAACGAAGAAGGGATCCAATACCATGACACGGACTAAAAAATTTTAAAAAAAGAAACATTCCAAAAGCCACATGGCAAAAAATGAAATAAAGAAATTAAAAAAAAAACATCTATTTCAAAAGTTCAAGCAAAAAAATGGTGATGCTAAAATATGAAAAAAATGAGCATGAGAATCCAGGTTTAAAAAAAGGTTAGTCCATTTGACTAAATTGTTAAATAAAACGCTACCAGGGGACAAATTACTGCTTTTAAAAATTCTTATAATCATTGTGTTGATTATGAGTGATGGTGACAAAAATATAAAACAACAAAGATCAGGGATCCAGGTCCATTACAAAGACTAATAAAATTGTAAAAATTGCAACAAAGAACATATTTTCCAAATCATTCTCTTGTAACGGAAGCAAAAATATAAAATATCCAGGCCCGTGAAATTGAAAAAGAAAGAAACGTTCCAAAAGATACACAAGGAAAAACTACTACTGCCAAAATAAAAAAAAACAATGAGGATGAGGTTCCAGGTCTATAAAACCGAGCAACCAAATTTTAACACAAAACAACATTAATTTAAAAACCTACTACTGAAATAAACTAATAAAAAACAAGAAACAATCTAAAAGCTACAGGGTTAGTAGCTAAAAATTGTGAAAAAGCGTAACACAATGATAATAAGAGTTTAAGTCCATGAGTTTTTTACCGTTTCACATAAAAATGATCGTATAAATTTTTTTGTAGTTTAGGGAAAGGTTAATTTTCGGAAGATATTGTTTCGCGGCGATTTGTTACTAAAAAAACTTACCCCAAATTAGCTCCAACGGAAAAAATGTAACCCAACGGGCAGACTAGACTTGTTAACAAAGCACGAGTTTAAATATGAAAGTTAGAGTCTCTCCAAGATTTTGGTCAATTAGTACAACAAATTGAATTAAATATTTTATATTCTGCGATTTTGTCCTATAGAATTGGTCCACAGAGGATGCTGAGAATCTTAAATAACCGTTACGACGTTTTACAGCATAAGATTCAAAATGTCTTTGTAAATTTGCCCAACAGAAAACGACCGAATATATGTTGAGCGTTTTTTCGGTCGGGGCGCGCCACTGATTGACGAAAAGATGATTACTGGAACAAATCAGAGATTCGACCTTGAAACGCGAACTAACCCATGCGAAACCAACGGACGACGACCAATTGCCAAGCAATTAAAGTTTAGTTACGGAACGGCGACGAGAAAATAAACTTAAAAAAAAAACACCACTCCCCCAAAAAACTTTTTTTGATTAAACCAAAAAGGACATGGGTGATTAGAACTAGAGACTCACATCTATGGGAAGCAGTTCCGATAAATCACAACACGCGCGTCGCGCGAAAACCTTTGGCCCGTTAAATCACGCGCGTCCGACCGCAAAGCTCTCGCGGACGATGTTCGACTGTTTCCGCGGGTGGTACCGTCGCGCCGCCGTCGGGTACCGCGAGGTCCCCACCCACAAAAAAAAAACGCGGGGGCTCTCTGCTTATCATCGACCAGAAATCCGCGCGACGGAAAACTCGGACGGTGCCAGGTCTGCGTGTCGCGCGGGCCACTTGGAGCACGAGGGCATCAATACTCTTTTAAAGCAAAGTTTTCGTAAAATTCATCGAAGAAAATAAGTGGTTTCTGTGTGATGGCGCCAGAAATATAATTTTAAATTATTTTCGAAATTTGCAGGATGGATGGATGGAGAGGCCTGAGATGATAATATAAATGTATAATTAAATGTATACATAGCAGTATTTTTTATAACTCGAACTCCTATCAAAAAATTAAATTATTTGACATTTTCAAATAAATCTTTGTTAGAGCGCATTTTTCTAAACGCTAATTTGGGACATGGTAAGGCATTGTATGGCTTGTAAAATGGCAACACTTTTAATGGTAACTTATAATTTATGAAGACTTGATGGAAGTAGATATTGATGTTTACTTAATTTTGATTTGATGATGATGTGCGTATGTATTATGCGTTCAAAAATATCTACTTGTAATTTTACAGAATTCATCATAAAATTTTAAAAATTTATTAGACATACGAGGAATATAAATATTGCAATATGCACTTTAATGATCAGGAAACTAAATAATTAAATAATTTCAGTTAGATATATAAAAAAGTTTAAAAGAAAAGAAAATAGATAGATCAATAAAACATTAGGGAAATCCACAGGCTACTGTAATACTGTAATACTGTAATACCGTAATACTATAAATATAAATTTGTCAGTTTCAGTTAAGCTCTGAAGAAGTCAGCAGGATGATGGTGGCACGTCAGCAAGTTCGGTTCAACAACAATATTAGTATTCTTATTATAAAAACGCATTTCCTGCATATTTATTTTATTTTTATAAAGGAGTGGACGGGATTGAATTATCATTACCATTATCATTCTTCTCAACTAAATCTAATGAAAAACTTATGCAATGACGTTAAAAAAAAATAATATCAATTTTATTTCATGTTTTAGAATTTTTTGGTCTCTTGCAATTTTTTCATAAAAGTGACAAGTTCCAAATAAAAAAATAAAATGTGAATCATTGCACATTAGATATTAATATGGTGCTGTCAAACAGTTATATTTTGTTACATTTATCAATTATCTTCTAAACAATTAAATTTTAAAAATAATTTATTAAAAAAAATTTCTGAAACTAATTGCTCCATTCATGCGAAAACTTTGATTAAATACCTTCTTTAAAAACATTTGATTTAAACAATGTAAATCAAATAAAAACAGAATAATTGCAAGACAAAATTACAATTTTAAAAATCTCTCACTTCTTTTTATTCAATAATTTTTTTATCTCATTATGCATTGCTTTAGAATTTGTATTATTTGGAAACGTTAAGGATTATTCAAAAATTGCAGCAGACAAAAGAGTTTCTAAATTAAATTAAAAAAAAAATTGTTGGGTTTTTCTTTAAATTTAGTGAAGCAAATGATGATAGGGGTATTCTAATTCAATCCCATCGACTCATTTTAAACAAATAAAAAAAATATACAGAGTGTGTTTTTATAATATTAATACTTCCGTAATATTTTATTACTTAATCTATTTTTAGGATAAAAAAATAAAAGCAATATTTTTAACATATTTTTGGTTGACATTTAACTAATTGACATTTCTATAAGAAACTGCAACTTATTTTAAAGAAGGAATCAGACCCTTAACCTTTTTGTATTTTTTAGAACCGTCGAGATAAGTAGAGATAAATTCAAACAACTTTTATCTCAAATTATTGGTCAGTTAAATAGATTCTGAGCAAAAATTTCATTCTATAATAAAAAGGACACCCTGCGAATATATTATATCATAGCTGCTGCTGATTTATTTTATTTTTGTCAAACCACTATGCGACGACGACGGCTTAGGGGAGCTTGTAAAAGGGGGGGGGGCGGGAAAACGATATACCTTGGTCGGGGGTTTATTACGCGCGACGGCTAATGGGACCCTTTTTCATTAGGTAGAGTATGACGCGCAAAGCGGAAAAATGGGTTATCGCCGACGATTTTAATAAACTCGGAAAGGGACAAAGAAGAAAAAAAAAAACACTTGTCCACTTACCATTTGCGACGGCGACTTGGGTTTGCGATTAATGTCGGCAATTTTCTGGAGGGCTGAAATGGAAAAAAAACGAAGGTTAATTAGATCGTTTTTGAGTGTTAGTAATCGTTCAACTCCATTATTGCTCATCCGTTGACAAAAATGAGGAACGCAAACGGTACTCAACCTTAATTTCTTGAATACGCGAGGCATTTCGGTTAATGTAAATAAAGGAAATTTATTGTCCACGGCTAATTTTAATACGGTCATCAAACCGACTATATATATTCATTAAACCGCTTTCGTAGTGTCTATTATAATGCTCGTTTCAATATACCAATTGAATATTAGATACCACAAATGTGGGTAAAATTAATATATTAGACAGTTAAATACGAGTTAATCAGTTGTAAATGCCATCTCAGTTTTGATTAGTTTGAGTAGTAATGACATTCATAAATTAACGGTAAAAAAAAAATATAAAAATATAAATGTATTATTAATAAGTTTAATTAAATTTTTGAACGTTTTAATGTAGTGAAGTCTCAGGAACTGTATGCGACAAAAACAATAGATTAAACATTTGACTGACCCTTCGCGGTGGCTCCTAACAGTGTGAAAGGTTTTGGTTGGTGGGCCGTTTATCTTGGGACATTACCCTTATCTCAGAAACTGCAGGGAATGGATCCAAAAATTAAATACGAAAATTAAAGGGGGGAATTACAAACCTTTTTTTTTTAATTTTGTATATTCAGGATGTTTCATTTTTCGTGTTTTTTGTGTTTCATGTTTCAAATTCTATACAAGATTCTATAATGTCCTATACCTAAGTCTAACCGTTTTTAACATTTTTATTTTTATTTTTGTGGAAAATGACGTAAAGTATTTGCCAAGTTCTTCATTCGGAAGCATTTATTGTTTCACTCGAGTAAGTTTTGTTGTATTTTTACAATCTTGTCATATTTAGCATCAAAAATTAAGCAAATTTTATATAAAGTTGTATGTCCCTAATATTTTTACCTTTTGAAATATTTCCTTTTAAACATTTGTCTATCACAAATAATATACTGTTGCCTATAAGTTATATAAGTGCTAGAAGGCTGTTTGCGTATTATGTTTACCATAGAGGAAAAGATTGATATAGAGTTACATCAAAACCGGACCCTGACTCTTAAAGATTAAATTAGAAAATTTTCATTAAGCAAACGCCCAAAAAAAAAGATCTTCGCCAGGATTTGCACTTTAGAATATATGGAACTGTGAAGAAACAAAAAATAGACGTCGTCATATTTTGAATAATGAAGACAAACTTAATATTTTGTTGCACTGAAGTTTTAACCCGAAATTCGTCTTTAGATCTAGATGTCAAAAGAACGACCAACTGGAAGCAACAATCTTATGGAGAGACACTTTTCAGGAAATATAATTGCTAATATTAATAATAATAAGAATAATAAAAAACAAATAGAAGTTACAAGTTCGGGTGGAACTTGTGTCAAAGGATTTGGAGGTTCAGAGGTCCAGTATTTTTTGAGGAGAATGTTACTGAGAGCTTTTAAATATTATCCATATCTTTGTTGCAAAGGAAGTGCCTGAAATGGGACGATGAAATTTAATTTGGATAACTGGATGGCGCTTCTTATTACAGAAGTCGAGAAATTAGCACCTATTTAAATACACACTATAGCGAATGGATTGGGAGAGTGGTAGTTACGCCTGGCCTCCAAGGAACAACGACTTAACTAACATAAATTTTTTCTATGGGGTACACTTGAAAATTTAGTTTATAAACACAATCCGTCAACGTCGGATAAACGAAGGTTAGAAATGCCATTATGTACTTAAAAACCCAAAATATGTGAATAAACAAGGAATCTACGTAAAAAAATATATCCAGATCAGTTTGCACCTTTTCGATAAGCTAACGCATAACCTGCTATCTTACTTTAATTTAAAAATCCAACATTTCCGTTTATAAAAAAAAATAGTCCTTGGGTCACGAAACCCGATGATCTCTGAAACCCATTAAAAATTGGACACACTGTACAGCGCACACTTTGACAAAAAGAAAATTTAATGGATTAATATTCCCTGTGAATGTGTAAACTAACCGCAGTTTTTGCTTGTTGCTATAATGACGTATTCGAAATCACGGGTGATGTTCCATGTTCGTTATTTCCCCTTGCAAATGAATGGACTAATTTTTATTTGTAAATGCTTAGCCGTTATTATTCTTGTGAGCTACACGCGAGCGGGGCAGCAGGAAAACGCGGGCCGTTATATACACGACGCGCCCTTGTAGACGACGCCCACCGCAGTCACCCATTCACGTAGGATATAGCAAGCGACCGAATACATTAGCCCACACGTGTGGACGGGAGGGCATTGTCTAAACGGCGACGCTTAACGACTGTTTTTTTCCGTCTGTCCGCCATTAAACGACTCGATGATTAAGATATCCAGCTCGATGGCAGCGTGCCTGAGAAGAATAGCGGGCGAAAATGCGACTATCGACCCCGATCCAGGAAAAATATTTTTCTCTATGTGGTTTTCAAACTGAGGTTGAGGAACCAGACACCACCGCTGCATATTATTACGTACGAGGGCTGCCTTTCATATTTCGCGATCAGCGATAAGCAGCAGTCGACTGTTTGGATAGTCTGTTTTTTCAGGAAAACTGGCCACGTTGCAACTGTTTCTCTGGTGAAAGCTAAATCAGTCAATTCTAAATGATACACAACCATTTGTTTAGAAATTAGAAAAACAAACCGCCTAAGACGAATCACTCTCCACGACGACAATGCTAGTTCTCACCGATCAGTGCATTGAGCATTAAAAACCTTGATTTAATGAGCCATCCACCATACAGTCCTGATTTAGCACCTAATGACCTCTATTTATTCATATACATTAAGAAAAAATTACGTGAGCAACGAGTTTTGATTTTTTGATTGATGCGTTTAAAAAGTATGTTTTAGAGGTGCCCAACTCGATAGGGAAAAGTTCTTTGATAATTGGTCTTATCGAATGCAAAAGTGTATTGATCATCAGGGTGAATATTTTGAGAAACAAGAAAGTCATATTTGTTGGTAGCTTATAGTTTTTTATTACAAATCCCGAAATATAAATGTAGCCCTCGTATTTGGATGTTTAAAAGCATGGATCATGGAATTAATCAACTATTTTTCAACCATTTTGGGGAAAAAAATTCATTAGTTTTGGTTAGATACGGCTTGACAATTTGATGCTATATCATGTTATGAAGTAACTACATCTTACTACCGCATACAGACTGCTTACAAAATGAAACACATTTTACAAAAAAAAAAAAATGTAAATTTTGCTCGGTTTCTTAATGCTAGAGATTTATAAAATGTAAATTTGCAATGACAGCGACCATTAAATAGCGTGGACAACTTATATCGTAAAGTTTAGATAATAAATAAACAAAATACAGTTTTAAGGCTTCCACTGTATATTTAATCTCATTGAACATGTTTGGCATCAACTGAAATCTGCCATTCGTCGCAACAATGTTTTCCCCGTGTTAACTCCAATGTCCTCAAACTTATAGAAACTAAAGTTTTTAACATCCCTCCACAAAGTTGGGCAAATTCTGTTAAACATATAGAAAAAGCAGAACAATCGTATATCCATATTGCAAATATTATAGAACAAATAATAATTAGAACAGGCGATGATCGCGATCGTGATACTGATATATTATGTGAAAATTTTTAAGTAATTTAAGTATTTTGGATTTAAACATAAATACATACATAAATAAATAAATATTGTTTAGTATCTTTCCTAACAAAACCCCAAATAATTAAATTCTAAGCAAGATACGAACCTGTTCGGCTATATTTCATTCTTACAGCTTGCCCGGGTCTTTTGTTAATTCGTATCAGTTAGTCACTTTCTTATATCTATGAACAGACTTTACCATAAGTCTACAGCATGCCTTGCTACAAATTTCGCACAAATTCAATGATTTTTTCCACGTGACATGCCATGTCCCAATATTTTATAAATATAGATAGTTTAGAAAATAATTTCCAATATTTTGTTTGGCGATTTATTTAACACTCTTTTCTCCAAATTTCTAAGACCGCGCGTTGTTGTCAAATGTAAATGTACCGCTGACCATCCGCGCTACTTTTGGTGGCTGATGGATCAAAAAGCGATGGTAAATGTATGAGAACAGTGGCGTCTCGTACTTACTGACAGATTCGATGACTTCCGCGAGGAGGACGCCGTCGCTGCAGTCCGCCGCCAAAGAGTTGACCCGCTTTTTGCTGCGCGCCTTCTCCAAGTAGTGGTTCGCCCAGTCGGTGTATATCTGAAACGCGAGCTTAAGTTTACCGTACGGGAAAAATCAACCCTCTGCCCTCCTAACCGAGTTTTCCGCCATCTGCCGCACTTGCGGTTTGGCCGCCATCTTGGACGGAGGGGAACGTGGGAGAAAAGGACGACAGCGAGAAATTAAACCCCGAAACGGAATTATTCGCACTAAAACAATTTGACGTTGGACCCTCGTGGATTTGTGGATTCGACAACAAAATTGTAGTTAGCGCACGTAATTTTGCCTTTTTTCGTTTTGTTTTAAATTTATATTTAATAGACAGGATTATCTCGGATCGACGTGTTAGAAAAAAGAGGCAAATATTGCACTTGAAAACGACAGTTAGCTCGTAACAGGTCTTCCACTTACTCGTTGTGTTTATTTTATTATTAGCGATATATTCTTACCGGAATTATTTAGACATTATTATGGTGATTAGATTCGTATAAAATAAAACTAAATAAATAATATTTTAACTAAAAGAGTGCATACATCCAAAATCAAAATATTTTTTTAAGATTAAAAAAAAAAAGTAATTAGTCAAAAAACAGGAGTACGTATTTTTTCAGAAGTATCATTTCAAACAACTTTAAATACATAAATAATATTTAATTTCATTTAATATTTAAAATTAAATTTTTGAAGAAGCTTCAATTTTCTTTTTAAATAAATAACCAAGTTAACGTGTACACCACCAAAAAATATTTGGAAAGTTTCCCTTCTACATTAAAGCTTTTTCGACCTTTAGACTTAATTGTGGGTGTGTCCCAATCGAATCTGTTCCCCGAACCTCCAATAAAAGTAGAATTTATGGAAACTAACCCTTTAAGAAGAAAATGGAAAAGAATGAAATAAATAGTTAACCTATTTATAGTGCACTAGAGCCTAAGTGGTGGAACGCGTGGTCGCCATCACCAGGCTGTGCAACAACTAATCCTGAAGGTCGAAAAAGCTTCAATATCTTTTTGTTTTCTGTTCGGTCGAATCTCATATCCCAAAACTAGAAATATTTATTTTCTATTTGATTTAATAATGTACATAGCTATAGATTATAACGTCACAAATACAATTGATAAAGAAAAACAACATTAAAATTAATAACCACTTGGTTCAAAAAAGGGTAAACGATTGAAATGATTTTCCGAAGAATCCATTCAAGTACGTTTTTTAGAATTCATTCTCTCAATCTATATTTATTGGGCATTACATGCCGCGAGTGCGAGTGCATTTGGTTAAGACAGCTCAAAAAAAGTGCGTGACCCAACTCTCTGGAAAAGTTTTTATTTTCGGGATCTTTCCTGGAAGTGGGCCAAACCACATCTGGAACACCTGTTTCTCATTTAAACCGGGCCATTTCTCGGTTCATTTAAAAGGATCATAAAAACTATAAAAGCACTCATGCCGACCGAACTTGAACGAAACAAATTGAGTTTTCAATAACTGTATTTATCATATTAATAGTCGGTCGAGCGGCGAGCTGCCTGGATCAATCATCCCATATTGATTCTATACTTTGCAAAGCATTCCATGGATTTGTAAAACGTAAAAGGAGATAATTTGCTAGTCTCAAGTCAATCAGCCCATCATCATTGGTGCTGTTTTGCAAAAATCTACAAGTAGAAAAGCCGCATTTTATTTTTTTGTTTACCTTGATATCTCTAAAAACAAAAAAGCAAAGGCATCGATGTAGAATTAGAAAATATACTGTGCCGTATTTGAAAAAAAAAAGTTTTAAATCTTTGAAAATTTTAACTAAACTATTGAGATCAAGTTCAAGGCCTACTGACGATTTATTTAAATTTGTACATAACTTCATGGTTGTAATAATGAACGTATTATTATTTTTTGTTATAAGCAGGGTGGGATTTTCAGGCGCCCCCCCATCCTAAAAAGTACGAAGTTTCCCTCCCGGTTTTCGCGTTTATTATTCGCCACGCGCCGTCGGTCCAATTAAAACGGAAACCTCCGGTATATGGGATAGGATCGCATGGCCCGATAAATAATAACGCGCTGCCACTTTAATTATGATTTAAAAGCAAAGCCCTGCGGCTGTATTTATCGCGGCGGACAGATGGTTTCTGTGAACGGAGCTGCAATACGATCCGCTGATATCGTCGCCGTTTTTCTTCGAGTCGACGGACCAGCAACTTCACGGAAAAGTGGAGGGGTGGGGGTGACGTGCGTATTGTTTAGGTTAGAAAATGGCGCGTTATTAACCAGCGTAATTAACCCCCGTAGAGCCGGGAGACGCTCGTCTCCCCCTCAACGCCACGCTTTCCCCAGCGCATATATATAGGGGCGGGAAACGAGAGGAACTATTTTCGGAGAGTTTCCACGCGAGCGGCTCCCCAAACTGCCGGAAACGGACGTCACTGGTGCACGCGATATTTTTGAACTCGCGTCGCACAGATTGCGTTAACGTCCGACAAGGTTACGGGTATGCCGCGAGATAACGCTCACAGTATCAAATATTTTTCAACTTGTTTGTTGTCGCATCTGCATCGTGGGGTATTCTACGTCCCGCCACCAAAAAACGTCGCGTGCGATGACGAAAACCCACCCCTACAATGTACCGTGCGTTCAGTTTATCTTGATAACATTTTAATTGGCCGTAACTGTATTGTTTTTAGAGATCAAGGTAAACAAAAAAACGAAATCTAGGGTTAGTAGCTCAGTTCTTTTCCAAGTGACGTATAAAACAAAACACTAGCCATTTTTTGAGATATTTTTTAAAAAATTGTATAGGTGAATATGTGTTTAATAGAATATCTTATTCCGATTGCAATGATGTAACACAATTTATATCTGTCAGAATAATTTTTTGAAAAACATTTTATGGACCGATGAAAGTTTGTTCACCGCAAGAAAGGGTTCTAATAAAAAAAAAAGCGATATTGGCCTTTCAATCATCCTAGACACGAAATAAAAACCCAGGGGTACCAATCAATTAATGTATGGTGTTGTGTCATAGATTCGAGATATTTATAGATCAAAAGTTAACTGGAGATCATTATTTCCATCCATCTCTTAGAGCACCATATAGAACAATATATAGGAGATTTATCCCTAAATATATCAGCACTGATTATATGGCAGCAATTTTCTTAATATGGAATATCCCAGGGGTCGGATAGGGAACGGCGAAACTATGAATTGGCCAGCCAACAGCCCCGACTTATGAAACTTATGAACTTATGAAAAAAATCACGTGCACAGAACTCCTTGTAATAATGTTGTGGACTTAGGTAAATGATTTCACAGTTAAGAGACAATCCGGAAACGTTACCAAATGCGACACATCATACAATTGAGAGTATATGAGAAATGTGTTCAGGAAAATTGTGGTTACATACAGCAGTATTTAGAATAGTTAAAGAAATTTGTACTTTATTTTGTAAATACTTTTTGCTGCTGCAATCAGTCACAGTCACTCTTTTAAATTATATAAAAATTTCTTATTTTTGCCGATTTCTCAAAAACGAGTGGACGTAAATATAAAGTGCGTTACATCGTTGTAATCTATTAATTGTAATTCTATAAGACATAAATAATATACATGCTGTTCCATTTGAAAAAAAAATATGATGTAGACTTATATGTCAAAAAATGGACAGTTTTTGTTTTATATGTCACTTGGCTGCTAACACTACATTTTGTTTTTTTGTTAATCTTGATATCTCTAAAAACAAAAAAGTTAGAGCCAATTAAAATGTTTTCAAGATAAATTGAACGCACGGTACAAAAATGCCGGTAGGTTAAAAACATTAAGGTCTTTTAATTTTGATAAAAAAAAACATGTTGAATATTTAACAAAGAGACGTTGAGTATATTTAACCAAGGACATATATTAAGAGATACCTTTAACTTTTCAAGAAATTTTAATAAATATAAATAAATAAAATTAAACTTAATGAATGTAATGTATTCAATACAAATATCTGTTGCTGCTTAACAAACACTTTGTTAAATATGATACTAACCTAATTATGGTAATTGTGAACAATAGCCACAGATTGGTTTGCAAAGAATAAATTAACAATAGGCTTGCGTTTAAGACAACACCGTTTCAAGACGAAAAAATTGATAAAGATACCATCAACCCTGAAACATCCTATATATGAATGTTTACTGTTTCCTTTTAACAATAGGAGTTTGTCTGATAAAATAACTGTTTTTGACATTGACAAAAACTACATACTGTTATAGATAACAGTTTCATCATCAACATCAATCAATTATAAACAAATTTTTGTTAAGCCAACTGAATAAAAATCATTTAATGAACTAAGAATGTCTTCTTACAATGCAAATTTTTCTCCGTTTTAAAAAATCTTCACCCAACAGAAAATTAAAGAGCCGCCGTAAAAAAAATGATTTCTTTAATAAACTGCGCTTTGTTTGGGATCAGACACACATGTTAGTCAAAAATGGGGACCTAAAAAATTTCTATTTCGCTCAAAATTATTAAAATTTATCCCCGCGTGGGTGCGTACGCGGGGAATAAGAACCCTAAGGCACAAATTTCATCCGAAATCTTTTAATCTATAGCAACACAAAAGAATTCTTCGGCGGGATATAGAAAACACCAAGAAACAAGGTTGATTGGAAACGCGATTGAAAAGCTCGAGGGTTGTTTCGATTTAAAAAACTTGGGACCCTTACAAGATTGCCCTAATAACAATAAAGGGTATCGTCGTTTCGCTCACAACACCTTTTTCCCGATTTTAATTAACCCAAACGAGTGTTTGGTAGGCGAGAAGGTTCTCTCTCGATATAATTGATCAAAGGAATTGGTTGGTTATTCGGAAGATTTTTTGCTGAAACTTTAATCGGAGACCAATAAGAACAGTTCAAATAAAAGAAAATAGTTGGACCTAAAAGCTTAGAGAACCTAAAGAAACCGCCTGGGACGGCGGATGTTATGCAACCGAAAATCATATTGATACTGCAGCGGATTGCACCGAAAAAATAACAATATTAGTTCGGTAAAAATTACT